AGCTGTTCAAGTGTTCAAGGACTAGAGCGAGAATGCCAGTTCCAAAGTACAATGTTTTATCAACTGAAGATTTTTTTGACTAGGCATTTTATTACTACAAGGTTTTGTACTACACAATGGTGTACACTTGCACTCTTCAGATAATATCTGCAAGAAAGGCCTTAGTGAAATTTTTGGTCGTTTTTTTATTTTGGTCCGATTTTCCCAATATGTTGCATGTGGACTAAGATTGATAAAAATCATACTATTCTGTACTTTTTTTTTTACCAATTTCTGCTTTTTCTTCAAGAAATAACCTATGCAAAAACCTGGTCGGCGTTCTTTGCTTTCTATTGTTCAAAGCGAAATACAAAAGAAACGGTTTAAGTCCTTTGTTTCACAAAATCAACGGAGCGGGACACTTAAGCCTGATATGAATACAGAGCGATTTATTAAACGTTATCGTGAACTTATTTGTATCGTGTGCCGCCATGGCGCAATCGGCTTTTTGTGTGTTAAGTGGACGATGGAGATCACAAGAACGGTGGTTCGGTGCATCCCTACCCCATTTTTCTCCTTCTCCTTCTTTAATTCTCTTCTTTTCCTTTTTTGTTTTTGTTTTCTGTCGGAAGCGGGTGCATTTTGGAGCTTCATAACAGACAAAAAAAAAGCCAAAAATAGGGAAAAAATAGTCTCTGGTCTCATCTTTTGAACACGGTTCACAACATAAAAATCACATGGTCAAGAGAAGTTCAGATTGAACACACGAATAACAAATTTTTTCGTCTTACCTTGCGATGAACCGCCATTTTGAAAGTAATAAATAACCGCTAGCCATTTCTTTGTGGGCGCCGAAACAGACTTTTATCAACCTCGTTCCCAGGTCCTCTCTCCCAAGCGTCACCGGAAATGTAACGCAATCGTGAAAGCGTGATCAAAATAGCCATCGTTAATGATTTATATTAAAAAATATACATATTTGTATCGAGCCGATTTTGCGAGAACCAACCTTAATCGTAAAATTGGCTTTCCACATGCTGGATATGGATTTTTGCCTTCGTGTCTCTGCGACCGTGATTGCGTAGTACTGGCTAAAAATAAAAAAAAGGGGGTGTTTTGTTTGGATTGTTTGTTTGTTATATTTTTTCTAAAATTAAAACGCAACATTTTTTAGATGATGCCTTGCTAGTTTAGGAAATTTATTCATTCATTCATTGTTTATTAAATACCGAGTGCTTTTAGCCAGTATCCCTCACAGACTATTTCTCCTTGCCCCCAACCTACCCCTCAACTGCCCCTTACATTGTAACTTTTCACCTTGTTTCTGGTGATCTCCGGGGTGGGAACGATAAAAATACACTGTTAAAAAACGCACTGTAGTATTAACTCTTTATTCGCTCTTTCTAAGAAAGCATTTTTCTGGCTATGGCCTGGCCAGGCCTTGGCGATCGGAAGCGATTATGATATATTCAGGAAACGCCGTCAGGGTTGCAGTGAAATTCTCGCCCCGCTACAAGAACCGGGGTGAACCTACGCCGGGGTGACTCGCGCAGCCATGACATTTTGTGGTGGTATCATGTAAACAAATATAGAGCCATGAGAGGCAACCGGAATCAACTCGCTCCGGGGCGCCCCGGTGTTAGCCTCCCCGCAGACGTCCTTTGGGGTTCGTTTGTAACGTATTCATTTCTCCCCCGCGGAGAGAAATGAATGCGTGACAAACGAACCCTAAAGGACGTCTGCGGGGAGGCTACCCCGGTGTCATATAAACATTCCCTAAGAGGGGTCTTTGTTTTCGAAATTACGAAAACTAAGACCCCTAAATTTGCTGTTAAATTCGACCTAAAACTCTATGGAAAGAGTCGGACAGAAGATAATTTGACAGACTAGACCTATTCCGATTACAATTTGACTTCATATTTCTCCGGATTCGATTTTAGGGGGTCTTATTATTATTATTATTATTATTATTATTATTATTATTATTATTATTATTATTATTATTATTATTATTATTATTATTATTATTATTATTATTATTCGTGTGTTCAAACTGAACTTCTCTGGACCATGTGATTTTTATGTTACTAGGCGCAGACGAGTGAAATTAATCTTGATTCAAATTAAATTAATAGCTAGCGTTTGAAACGCAAGAGGGGAATAAGGTGTGCGCTAATCGTGTCCTTTCTTATATTTTAACTTGACCGATCGAAGCGTAATTCACATTACTGAAACAAATAGGGCGTTTTTTCCTGAGAATTTCGCTTCAATATCTCAGGATTGCTGTCAGAAAATGTTTTCCCCTGCTGAGGACCAAGCAGTGAAGTATTTTCGTCAACGGTTCTTGTCTTTAGTTAATATGGGCCTTCATGCCGCGATAATACGACTGATCCCGCTGATACACGAGGGAGAGCAGCGATATAAACTATATATAGTCGGCGATCCCCGTATGGTGTCCCTGCTGCGACCCCCCCC